AATGAGAGAAAGGGAGGTTTGACAACTCTATGAGTCCTTCCCCTGTCCCACATAATAGAATCTGCAAAGCAAAAATAAGGTCAGACACTTTCAAATTGCTGCAATAGGAGAACTGGGAGATAATTTTATATCCAGTTCTGCAAAAGGCTAAAAATAAGCCTGTATGAGGCAGAAGAAAGAACCTGAAAATGGATTATTCTCATTTTTACTGTAATGCAATTTGAATATGTGCCATGTTTAAGACAGCAGAAGTGTCTGGACTAGGGATGGTTCTTTTTGTGGATTTTGCTATCTCCTCTGTAAAGAGGATTTTTTTCTAGTGTTTGTACACACCACTTTTAAAATGAAAGATCCACCAGCACTTCTACTCAGCAAGAGCTTCCACATCGGATCAAAGGTGTTAAGAGTAAATTTTTTTTTCTTATTAAATGTTTAATTTTCATTTTAGGAGAAAAAAAATACCTGCTTTAGTTGTTTAAATAACCTGATTCTTAATATGCAAACAAAGGGATGAATGACTGAGGCTTGCAGGCTCTCAAGTGCTGAGTGGTCACTGGTTAAAGACTTGAATTCTTCTGTTCTGAATAGCTGCATCAGTGCAGCTGTTTATTCCTGCTCTGGCTGCACCAGGGATCCACACTGCAGTTGCATCCTGCTGCCTGATCTGCATTGCTGTGTCCTTGGCAAAAACATCAGCCTCTATCAGGCAGAGAGGGACTGAGCCAGTACAAAACTTGGACAGCCATCCTAAGAATCTTTTCTTACCTCTGGAAAAAACCAGAAAATCTAATGTTTACAGGTGTAAAGCCAGGGATTAAGTTAAAAAAAAAAAAACAAACAAACAAAAAACCACAAAACCCTCCAAATTAAAACAACAAAATCCTTTGAGGAGCAGAGTATCCCACATCTGCACAGGGTGATTTTTCAGGAAGAATCCAGATGAATTTGGTTTTCCCTCAGCAGCAGCTGGGAGTGGCCATGGCTGGGGACAGGGCTGCAGGATCACTGCACTCACTGCCCAGGAAAGGATCCTGATACACTCTAATTGTTATTTATATCCCTGGTACTCAAAAGTTGTCATAGCTTGGGAAAAGGACTTTTTTGAATCCCTTTCCCTAATAAAAAAAAGCACATTTTTCCTAATTATTGATGGAGCTTCTATCAAGTACCAAATGTGGGCTTTTCTTCTGCAGCCCTCCAGGGTGAAGCTTTCTTTGTCCCAGTGCTCCACACTGTGAACAAGGGAGGGATGAAAACAAACCACAGACACAACTCTCAGCAGTGCCGGGCTTTTACTTCCATTGAGTGAACGTGGACTGCTCCCAGCCTTAGAAATGGCTCTTTGGCATGGCTGCACAGGTACCTGTGATGGAGCTTGAGGATAAAAGTGCAATTATCAGATTTCTGATCCACTCCAGAGGGCTCTGCCATGGCAAGAATGTAATGTCTTCCAGAGAGTCTAAAATTTAGCTTTATAGGAATATTGGTCTCACCAATATTCCTCAAGCAGGTAAGAAAATGAATTAGTACAGTTCAGAGTGCTGATGTTTGGAAATAAAATACAACTGCTTTAGGTCTCCTCTGCAGAGGTGCAGAGCAGGAAAGAAACAACACAGTCAAGTGATATCACAGAAGGAATTGTAGTTGAGTGGTTTAAAACACAATTGAAGTATTTATCATTGCTAGTGCCTAAGACATCTTACAGAACCCATTCTTAACTGTTTTCTCTCTCTTATCACTTTGGAATGGTGGGATTAAATTTGTGTTATAGAATTAGCCCCCAAAATGATTGGATTATTAGCACAGAGTGATGTGCTATCCTATTAGAAATTTCCCAGCCTTTCTTAGCTTTATGTCTACTTTCTGGGGCCTTTTTGCACTTTTTAAAGTCTTTTACCTTTTTATATTCCTACACTACTACATTTTCCAAAAGCCCCTTTAAGATGTCAGACTTCTGAAGCAGCATGAAAATAGTAATAAAATAATTGTGTTAAAAAAAAAAAAAAAGAATTCTATAGAAAGAACTCTTTTCATTAGTGTTTTGTGAGCAGCCTTCTTGACTGGAATTCCTGCTCTAAAAAAGTACAAAATGTGCCAGGAATTGTGGCAATGATAAAAGTAGTGTGAAAACCTGGAAATTCTTTTTTTGAAAGGAAGCATGGTGGAAACAGGAGAAAGCTTTACAGGAAACAGTTGCTATCCTGGTATCTGCCTTGCCTGGAAGAAGAAATTATTTCTAAGCAAATGCCCAGAGACGGTTACACAAAGAAACAAACAAACACAGAAATCCCAGCAATAAATCCCTGAACGACATTTCACAGAAGTGTGGGAACGAAAGCAGGGACAGCTCAGTTTCCATAGGCTGTGAGAGCAGTGTTCCCCTTCTCTGCTCCTGTGCTAGCTCACTGGAGGGGTGGTGACAGCTGCCCTGTGCCCTGACCCTGGCAGGGATGGATGGCTCTCGTCTCTGGCCTGTGACACGGCGCTCACCATTCCCGCAGCTTAATTGATTTCTTTTGGCAAAGCCAGTTTCCAACTCCTGTTGTCTGAGCAGCAGGACTGACTGCAGAGGGTAAACAAGGCAACCTGAAATAGAAATTCCTCTGTACCCAGCAAGTAATAGGTAGGATGGAGGGGAATGCTGGCTGGGCAGAAAACAGCCTCTGCCAAAGGTGTGTGATGCCAAGTGCAGATGGCCTGACAGGTGGGAGCTGGACGGTGAGTCTGGGGTCCAGCACGGAGTTTTTATCCACTAATAGCAAAATGCTGTTACCTTTCCTCTCACAGGCGAGCATGGAGATGCTAACAAATAAATCCTGCCCCATAAATTCTGAGGAGCCACTGAAGCTGCTGGCAGGGGACCTGGCTGACAGCACAGACCCTGCTGCACAAGGGTCCCTCCACAGTCTCCAGCTTTACTTCTCTCTTACTTCACTCTCACTTCTCAGAAACTTGAGTGAAGCTGTACTCAGGAATCTCACTGGAAGTTGCCAGTGTACTTTTAACATAGGAGTGGGCACACTCTGAAAAGAGTACCTTTCCTAGGAGTCACTTGAGAGAAATGATTTTGTTAACCTGTAGGTCTCAGATTCAGTCAAAGAGAAACCGGAAAATTTCTAACCAGGCAGAAGCCTGAGAAAGTACTGAGAAAGAATGTAAATAAGTTCTTTATCTCTCTTGTTGTTCACATTGTTTATAGTTAAGTTTTACTACTGTATGTCATTCACTGCACACCAATAGTGTGAGATGTTTTCACTTCAGGACCAATAGAGTTGGTCTGCACAAAGCACTGTACAAAAAAACCAATGTTTTTTAAACTAAATCAAAGTTGTACTCTCAACCTTCTGCACAAAGTATATTCATTCCTGTCCTACCTCAACAGCATCAGTTAACTATTATTTATGACAATTGTTCTCCCCAGTTTGCAACACAAAATATCTGTGACTGACTAATACAAATTTCATAAAGAATTGTGAGTCAGGAAAGGGAATGATGCTAAAAGGGAAAGAGAAACAAAACCAGGTTTGACATCTGAAAGTTTTTCTTTTAAGAATGAAGCAGTGGCTGTTTGGGAGGCTGGTTGCTCTGGATGTGGATAGAGTACAACCAAAGCTGCTAAGGGCACACAGCAACAGAGGAATAATCCCTTTTGTGAAGGATCAATAAGAGGTGTGGATGTGATCTCGCTCCCACATTAACACTGCTGCAAAAGCTAGGGCTTTGGCAGAACAACTGTGTAAGACACACCAGTGCAGGCAGCCAAGCAGAGTCACCCAGCTAGTGACCAACCAGCCTGTGTCCTGTGGCATCTCCTGAGTGAACCAAAACCCTCTTCCTTGAGAGCTCCACTAGAGCTGAGAACAGCTGGGTACCACACTGCCCTGCTCAGCATAAAGGTCCAGGTGGGCTTGACATGCTGAAAAAATGGGAGTGATCTGGAACTCTTCATTATCTGAGTCCTGGGCCACTCCTTCACCACCTGAGTACTATCATGCCACAGACAGCACATGTGATGCAAAGGGACACAAATCACCACAGTTAGAAGTGGAATGAACACTCTCCTCTCTGAACACAGGAAAGACAAGCCCAGAAGCTTTCCTATAATCAGGTGAGCACCCTGAGCAAAGGAAAATGCTACAGAGGGTGTTTCATCTGCTGCACTGACACCAAGTAGGACTTCTGGCACCTTGCAGCAACAAAAACACCCTGAGCACCCTGAAACTTATGTTCATCTTGCCATGTCTCCAGGTGGTCATTGCCTGGACTGGCAGGTACAGCTTATGTGCACAAGCACAGCACAAGCACAAAACGGCTGGAGAGCAGATCCATAAGCTGGAGAGAGAATGTAAGCTGGAGAGCAGATTCCACCTTCCTGCCTCATGCCATGCCAGGGAGGCCATCAGAAACAAGAGACAGCTTTCATGTCTCCCCCAAATAATCTGCTGTAGGATTTACCTATTTTTTCTCTTAGAAAGTCCTTCCTAGCACCTAATCTCCAACTTCCCTTCCTGCCATTTGAGACCCTTGTATGCAGATAACAAACCAAGCACACCTCACATCCCCAAAACCACACTGAAATTTAACTCTGTAGGACTTCCCATCCTTATGACATGAGGTCTTGTTTTTCCACAATGTTTAAACATATCATTATACAGGAACTTCTTTCTTTGGTATTTATGGAGGGTAGAACTGCACTTACAGGGCCATAGCAACATCTGTGGCACTGCTTCCAAATCTCTTTCATCCATCTGATAACACAGTGTGAGCCAGAAACTGTTCATACACTTACGTCAACCCCTAATTTTCCTTCTACCTGTACAACACATAGAGTGATATTGCAGGGCCCTTCTCCTTAAGGTAAATCAAAGCTCTGATTCTCCAGTGGGGGAAAAACAAAGGCAACTTACAGTCAACCCCAGACTAGTCACCTACCCCCATATTCAGCATGACATTACACATAGTAACTCTTATTTTTCAACAATTATGTGAAAGAGACTAACCCCAGAGTTTGTATGTCATGTGGAAGCGTCTTCCGAATTACTGTAGTTGCCAACCGTGAGATGATCCGAATCGGTTTCTTTACTGAAAAACAGTAGCTTTTTTTTCACCAAGCTGCAAGAAGGGACCGGGAAAGACTCTTTATCATAGCAAGCCTTGAGTGCACATGTTCCCACAGACAGCTTGCTTCCTCCTTGCCTCATGTTCTTGACTGCCAGAGTGGTCAGTGGGGCTCCAGGGATGGAGGAGAGTGGGTGCAGCCTTGACCACCGAGCTCTGGGGAGCATCTCCTGCTCCTCACCTCACACTCCACCCCTGCCAGCACACAGCAGCCCCTCACCATGCACAGCCTGGGCTGTGACATGCTCAGGCAAGGGTGTAAGGAGGGGCCTGTGCTCCCCTCTGAGCCATGTGGCCAACAACTGAGATCCACCAGAGCAGAAGCGTGTAAAGGATGCCCAGCCAGCATGACCCAAGCCCCTGTGCTTCGTGCAGCCTCATGCACTCTGCTGAGCCCGGGTTCTTAACACACAGCCCAACATCCTTTACCTGGAAGGGCCAAAGCCAGGGGAAGAGTACAAGCATAATGTTCAAGAGAGCAAACAGGCTGTGGTGCCTCCCCGTTCGCAGTGGCCGTGCTACTCACTGTTGCTCAGCTTTAGCTCGGTCACTGAGGAAGAAGAGGGCTGTGGCCAGGAAGAACATCCCTCCCAGGACAACGACAAACGGGCAGAGCATGAGCGCGTAACCCAGGCTGAGGAACTCCCAGACCGGCGACTCCTTTGTGCTTTGTCGTATCAGGTCGGAGATCTAAGAGAGAGGGGTAAAAAAATGAGTCACTTCAATGAAACAGAGACACCATAATAGTGCAGGGAACACGATTTCTGAAACAGCCACCCACCAAACATGTGTGAGGCTTAAAGTGGAACAGTATGTTCAGCAGAAGCTGAATGTCCCTCACACCCTTCAGCCTTCCACACTGGAGCCTGGGCAATTTATGCTCTGAGGCTTGGCAGGGGTTCTCCTCTCGCTGTCACTCTTCTGGCCTGATCTAATATTATTCCCACAGCCCTTTCCATGTTCTCCCAGGCTGTGTCAGTGACAGCATCTGTGGGTGTCTGACCTTGCTGTACTGCACAAACTCCCTGGGGAGCCAGCAGGGCCATGCTGGTGCTGCTCAGGGGTGAGGGGGTGATCAATCTTCTGCAATTCCTATCAAGTCCTGCTTACTCCCACGCCTGATCTACCTTTCAGCAAAGGGAGGTATTAAATTCCATTTCTGAGTACTGAGTGGGAAGGGGGAAATGTTTTCCAAAGAGCAAAAAAACCAGAGATCCTATCTGATTTGGGGAAACAGAACTTGAATATGGGGGGGGTTTATGCCCATGTCTGAGGTATGGGGCTCATTCCTTCTTCCAGCCTCCCAAGCTTGAAGTGTAATTGTGTGCAAGACATGGCTCTGTGCCAGGCTCAGATATGTGGTGGCACTGCACACCACCAAATCTATGGATTAAGGCAATCTGCACCTTCTGACAACCAAAAAGCATCATTACATGAAAGTAAACACAAATTATTTACATCTACACAAAGGAGCAGAGACATGCAACAGCACTCTTTACTCGTTATGAAGAGCTTTTGCTAGAACTCAGTAAAACGTACAGCATGTCTGTAGCTAAAACTTCCACATTTTAATATTCACTGCCCAGCAAAAAACTTTACTCAACAGAGAGGTAGAAGCAGTTGGGGTGGGCCTCAAGGAATTGGGTATTTAAATGTCCAGCTCTGTTTTTTATCCATGACCTTTTGTTGGGGGAGAAACACTAATTTATACCAAAAGACTACAGAGAATTTGCCACATAAAATCCTACTGCTGTGCACACATGCAAATCAGCTCCAGAAATAGCCAAAGTTTGTGCAGCAACTTCAAAACTGCCACATTACTGGTTATGGGAAAGCTGGAGTCAAACACAACCTACAAGCAAGTTCTGACATTCAAAGCTTAATTCTTGACAGTGAAAAGAACTGTCACACGCAGGAGAAATCACCAACTCACACTCTGCAGAGACCTGGAAGGTAAATGTGTGTGAGGAGATGCCTCAGCAGAGCCAAGCACAACAGAAGGTCCCAGAAGGATGATGCTCATGGGGACTCAGAAGAACACTGGGTGTGTTTGAGCAGGGAGACTCTGGAGCACTGGAGGTCTCAGTGGTTTATGCCCTGTCACAGCTCAGCCTGGCCCCTGGGGAGGGATGGAAAGGAGGAGCTGCCAGGCCAGTGCTGGAGGTGACACCACTGCACATGCTGGAGCTGAGGACTGTCCTACAGGATGGAGCCCTCTCAAATAAGGGGGACTGAATCAACACTTCAAGAGTGTAACTACAGAAAGAATTGAAGGGTTTTAGCCTGATTTGTCTGTTTCATGCCCTGCCCTAGAAAAGATGAGGAGAAAATTTCCGTGCTTGGGATATAGAAGAGTTCTAGTCCTCTCAAAAAGAACTTCATTAACAGCGTAAAACATGTGAAGAAAAACAAGAGTGTTACAGACAATGCTCATGTGAGACTCAAGGCAAATAAAGTGACCATTAGTTAGAGAGATTTATTAAAAAACAGCAACAAGACTTGAATGTGAAAAGGATGCACCCACAGGAAAGTACCAGAATGTGCTCTGCATCCAGCAGTCAGGGACATCAGCTGGTCATTAATTCCCTTTTGTATCCAGACACCTTAATTCCAAACATTTCCCTTATTCTTCATTATGAACCAGAATTTGGCATCGAGTCAATGTCTCTGTCAGGCTGCAATAGCCAGAGTTGAGGATATTCTAAAACAGAAATCTAGACATTCACTTTTCATTTTTGGGAATGGATACAATTATTCTCTAAAAGGACCAGACAATAAATCACTTGACAAATTGACATGGTAAGTCAGCAGCAGAGGATGAAAAGCCATGCAAGTACTCCTGATTGCTTTCTCCATGGATGACATGATATTCTAGGCTAAAAAACAGCTCTGAAAGTGTAAAGTCTCCAAAAAATAAATCTCCCAATGCATTTTGTCCCACACCTTCCCTTCTAATGCATTGTGTTGACCTTTTATAGCAACAAATCATGTTATTATTAAATCTGCTGTATTTTTCATTTTTAACCAAACACATTCTGTAAATGCACAGTTTAGGAACAAATGTCTTTCCTCCCTTTCAAGGTATAATTCTTTTCATCAGTCTGCTGGGATTCCTTACCCGGGTTCCATAGAATTTGCTCCCCAGTGTCTTCGTCTCTAAACTCTAGAATTTTATCAGAATCCACATATATATTTTTGCTGTTAGCAGTCACTATTCTCTGTTAGTTTGTTCCAAACCACCTGCTCAAGCTGGAACTTTGGCATCTCCTCTCAAGAGGACACAGGACATAATTACAGACCTAGGCTCCAAGAATGACACATCGTTTGCCAAATGCTCTGCTCTGTAGTGCCAATTTTGGGTTTTCCTTGCAATGACAGCATCCTGAGCTGGCCAACTCTGATTTGGCACGACCCAATCAAGCATAATTTTTTGTGTCTTCTCTCTAACATGAGGAACAAACTGCAGGGGCTGTGCGTGGCTGGTGCCAGCTCTGCAGCACAGAGTCATGTGTGGGATTCCTTCCTTTGTTCCTCCAGCTGGGAGGTGCCAAAAAGCTTCAAAACATGTATGTAGAATGTGGGGGTGGAAAATCAAGAGGGAAGTCCTGTTGCTGCTCTGCAGTCTAATCACAAGCCTTTGTTACCAGCCTAGCTGTGAAAAGTTCACATCTCCTCCCTCACTGTGCAGCACAGGGCTCAGACCAAGAGGAATGACTTTGCTAAATAAACCCCAGCTTGGGGTGTTTTTACAGCAGAACACAGCGTGTGCTCAGCTGGTGGCAGCCCCCTGGATGGAATCCAGCTCCTGCTGGCTGGAGAACCAACAATGGGCACCACCCCGGCCCCAAATCCCCAGCTCTGTCTCCATCTGAGGGCAGGAGACAATAGAGGAGCAAAGGAAAACTTCATTACTTCCTTGGGAAGAGTGTGGTGTGTGCTTTGGAACAGGGGACAGGCCATGGCTACAGTAGATGCCAAGGTGGGCTGAAGCCCAAGAAGGCACCTGGATTCCATGTTCTGTCTCTCCTGAACAGTCAGGGTGGGTAAATTAACTGATGTATTAATTACAGTGTAATGGTAACAACATCTCTGAAATCACTATTTCATTTCCTCTCTCACTGTTGCTGAGTCAATATCTCAATTTCTCTGCAACTGCCTTCTCTAAATTTCTGATGCTGCCACTTGGGCACAAATCCTGCTACATAAAAGGATATTTCTGGCAAAAATATCTGATTTTCATGATTACCAGTTTGATACAAGACAGGTACTCCCTGGCTGATCATTTCAGTACAGTTCCTTAACACAGTATTCCCTGTAACCCTACAATGGTTTGAGATCCACCCACTCTGAAGTCAGTGTGAATGTGAAAGGTTTCTTCAATTTTTTAAAAAATTGAATATGAATACATATGAAGCTGAGAAAGCAAAAAGAAGGGATTTTATAAAGTAAACAATTTTCTGGACCTCCAGGGGAGCAGAAGAGTTTACACTGTACCAAATAGCATGAGGAACACTTTATAATAAGAGGAAGTAAACATGTTTTTTTAATGATATTTTCCCCTTCCCAGGATGATGAGGCTACATGAAATACATGGTGCTGCCTTGAAAAAGGCTACAGTAAATTAAGATGCTCCACAGGGATGCTGCTTGCTGTGCCAGGACATGGACTTGGTACATCAGAGCAATATCTGCCCCATTTGCCCTGGAGAGGGTTGGAAGTCTCTTTTCTTCAAGCCATTTTTCTCTGCTCTGGTCAAGTTAAGACTAGACTCTCTCTGATCCCAGAGAGAGATGCCTCATACCATGGGGAATGTGAAGGAACTCCCATGACAGGGCCCAGGCAGGTGAACCTGTAGGGATGGGGATGCCATTCCCATGTAGGAACAGGTCTGTGGCACAGCACCTTGAGCAGCATCCCTGTCCTCACCTCTCCTGGCAGCATGGGCCCATTCCCTGAGATCTGTCCCTATATTCCACGAGTCCTTGTGTTTAAGAGAATCTGGACACATGCTGAAAGGTGCTCAGCACCATGAAAACTGCCATCTTGGGAGCTCAGAGGAAGAAAACATTTATTTCAGGAGGTTTTCGGTGCACAGAGCAGTGACAGAGCAGATGAGACAGAGTCTGAAGTACTTGAATGCAACAACGACCTGCTTTGGATTTCTGGGCTTTCTCTAATGAGTTACTTTCACCTACATTAAACATGTATCAAAAATACGAGAACCTGAACATCTAACAAAGTCATGAACATGACAGATGCACAGAACTCTGAAAAAACACCAAAGTAGGCTGGGAACCCTTGGCACAGAACATTTTAGAGATGGGAAGTAATTTGGTATTTTATTGGCAAATTTAAATTTTATCTGTTCCTGACTCATCAGGAGTGGGAAGCTTGTTAGCTTGTTGCAGTGAGGAGATCAATCCCATGAGGACTGGTCTCCAGGTGGTTAATGGTCCTTTTATTTTGTAGCTGACAGCTATGTCAAAAATTTAGCCTTTCAGTGCACTATGAAAAAGGCTTTTAATTACTCAGGACCAGAGAAATCCTCAGCCTAAAGTTACTGCTTGAAGAAACAGGTAATAAGGAGGAGGGGCTGGAGGCTCTCACCCTCACATTATTTCTCTGGCAAGCACAGTGGATGTTCAGACTAGCAAGGCCAAGTTCCATTTCACCCACCATAGTGTGGGTCA